TCCCTGCCTTAGTCCACTCATCTTAAAGTGGCCACGTTTGGACAACACTGCCCTATAGATTGTACACACCCCAAAGCACACTCAGACATGGTTTTTGAGGAGGGAATCATTGAGGTAAAGACAGTAATTAGAAGCAATCTCAATGTTTATAAATATTTTCATGCAATCACCAGTCGGGTACAACGGGAGCGAATTTAGAACTCAATATTATTTTTAGCAATTTTTCTTCTTTTTTATATACAATTCTTTTTCCTTTTTCCTTTTCTTTCCCGTGAGATGATTATGTGCGCTTATTTCTGGAACAATGAGAGTGGTGATTTCAATATTTAGAGTTTGAGAGAGGTTTTTAGTTATTTCTTAAGAGGATGCAAGGAACCCAGTTCTATACAGTGAATGAATTAACAAGATAATGAAATAATTAATTTAAATGTTATGATAACTGTGAATCCTTTGTTTATTTACAGTACTGACATTTTATTCTTCATCCACTGTCTTTTCCCACCTTTTTTCTTTTATGTAGTTGTTTTCCTTTAAATGTTTTAAACAAATCCATTTTTTTTTTTAAAAAACCAACCGGGAAAATGGTTATTTATAGATATGAATAGGAAAACGCTGCAGTAACCTAGCCTTTTTCAATCATTCACCTCCCTTCCAGTACCACCATAATAGTGGATGAAAACTATCGCTTAAACTACCCAGAATCAAGAAGACCCAGCTCTTCTGCAAGAACACAGAACCCAACCCTCTCCAGAAAATCTACAGTTTTGAAAAAACGAGGCATTTCATGAGACTTGCCAGCTTGCCAGAAAACGGAGAGTTTCTGCAACACATCGCAGAGTAAAACACTGGGGAGAGGCAACGCTTCAGCCCAGTTCTGAAGCCAGGGATCTGCAGTCAAAAACAGCAGGTGACCCAAAAAACGATGCTTTCCCCAAAATGTCTGGCAAACTCTGGTGTGCCACCAAGACTGTCTGTGAGCTCAAGCCCCACCCGATGGCATTTCTATGCCACCAATTCCTATCACTGAAGTAGTTTACAAGACGCGTTAAAGGAAAAAAATTAAACTTCAGATAAAAACAAAAATAGCACACTCTGAAATTGCACGACTTCCCCTTGCAGTCATGATCTCCATGAAACAATTCGGTTTTCACTACCTTCCTGAATATCAGGAGAAAGAGCACCATCCAGATGGCCAAGGAAAGGGTAATGCAGTGAATGGGGGCAGTAATTGAGCCGCAGGGGCTCCTTCCTCACAGTAACTCCAGAGGACTCATGGACTGCATGGCTAGGTTCTACCTGAAGTGGAAACTCCTACACATTTTGGGCCCAAGCCCTCTAGGGCAATGTTTCTCCACCTTGGCAGCTAGAAGATGTGTGGACTTCAACTCCCAGAATTCCCCAGCCAGCATTCCGGGAGTTGAAGTCCACACATCTTCAAGTTGCCAAGGTGGAGAAACACCACTCTAGGCCTTCATAGGTCAGAACCAGCCCTTTGAATTATACTCAAAATCTACTGGTAGCCAGTAGAGAGCTCATAACACTTGTTACATGCATACCAGAGAGGTTACCTGACAAAAGGTGACTGTCACTGATTACCTGCCATCACGTTGGTGTCAACTCTTAGCGACCACACAGGTAGATTTTCTCCATGATGATCTGTCCCTAACCTGGTCCTTCAGGTCTTTCAACAATGCCTCCATCACCACCGTAACTGAGTCTGAGACTGTCACTAGGGCCTCTGAAATACACATGCTGCCCAGCAAGACCTCATCCAGATGTGTTTAAACCAGTGTTTCTCAACCTTAGGAACTCTAAGATGTGTGGACTTCAACTCCCAGAATTCCCCCGCCCCCCCCTGGCTGCCGGGGGATTTCCCGGGGGTGGAACCACAACAACTCTAAGTTTTCAATGTTTGGGAAAGCAAGGTTAAACAAAACCG